AAAAAAAAAAAAAAAAAAAAAAAAATTCCCATTTGCTTTCCGTAGTTTCTTGACTTTTCTGCAAATCACATGTTTCAAGGCTCTTGGTCTCAAGCTCTTTCCACCTCCTGCCCTGCCCACTATCTGATGCTACCATTTTGACATTTCCCATTGTTCTCTTATTTCTATATTCTGGGGAACAAGAGGTTACCATAGTCTGTCTAAATTAAGAAAGCACTGAGTAAAAATCTTCTTTGAGTAAATTGTGTAAAGTTGATCACCTAATCTCTGGCATCTATCTTGGTTACATAATTCTTTCACTATATTTATAATAGCTAAATCTGATCAAAAACAAATACTGTTAAAGTTTGTTTTTAATTGAAAGATTTTTATCAACAATTTTGACTTTTCACTTCCATATTCTCAAGAGTTTTGAGAGTATAGGAAATTAGGATACCCAAATATAGTTTAACAATTTGACAAATAAAATAATTGAAGATATTTGTACTTTAAGTGTAAATCAAAGTATGACTTAGCCCTTATCCAAGAGCAGAATCTCAAAATGAAAAATAGCATTATAGGGAAGAAGAGGCTGGATCTTTTTCAAGACTTGATAAATTTTACATTTTAAAAAGTTATAACAGATTTTAGATAATATTAAGCAATAAGAGGAAGTGGCACTGTGGCTCAAGTGGTAGAGCCCTCGCCTTGAGTTGAAGAGCTGAGGGACAGTGCCCAAGCCCAGAGTTCAAGCCCTACGACCGACCAAAAAAAAAAAAAAGGCTGCAGATAATCTTAAGCAATAAGAATAGAGCATTTCCTGCCTTATTATAACTTTAAGTGACCACTCTCCTTATTCCACAAAGATATACAATGAACATAATCCTTTCCGATCCCTTCAGAATTCATTCTTCCCACTGTTCGTTAGCCTATGTCTGACCAGCTTTGTTTACCTCACTTGCAGCTTATCTAGGCATAATTGCATTTCTTTCATTAATAGGGTTTGAACTAATGGCCTTGTGCTCTCACTCAGCTTTTTCTGTTCACAACTGGAGTTCTACCACATGAGCCTCTAGTTCCAGCTGTTTACTGGTTAACTGGAGATATTCTTCCAGGCTGGCTTCAAACCTCAGTCCTCAGATCTCAGCCTCCTGAGAAACTAAGTTTATAGGCACAAGCCACTGTCATCTACTTATAATTTCATTTCTTATAGTACCTTTTTTCCTCTGTAAATATGAGATAACAATTACATATGAGTTAACAATTACATGTAGTGCTGGGCACTGGTGGCTCACGCCTATAATCCTAGCTACTCAGGAGGCTGAGATCTGAGGATTGAGGTTCAAAGCCAGTGTGGGCAGGAAAGTCCGTTAAACTCTTATCTCCAATAAACCAACAGCAAACTGAAAGTGGCCTGTGGCTCAAGTAGTAGAGCACTCGCCTTGAGCTGAAGTGCTGAGGGACAGCCCTTTATAGCATTGAAGAAAAATCTACTCATTTATTAGATACAAATTTTATTTAGAAGTGGAAAGTAGAGGTATGTCTCAGCAGAGTGTCAGCCTTGAGCAAAAAAGCCAAGTGAGAGTATGAAGCACTGTACTGACTCTCATGCAAAAAAGAACAAATTATATTTAATGTAGTACATGAAAATAGAATATTAAAAATGTGGGCTGGGAAGGTGGCTCAGCGGTAGAGTGCTTCCCTTGCATGCATGAGGCCCTGGGTTTGATTCCTCAGCACCACATAAGAAGAAAAAGCCAGAAGTGGTGCTGTGGCTCAAGTGGTAGAGTGCTAGCCTTAAGCTGAAGAGCTGAAGGACAGCACCCAGGCCCAGAGTTCAGGCCCCACAACTGACAAAAAAAAATTAAAAAAAAAAATTGTTCCACTGCCTCAAAAGCACACACACACACAAAAGAAATTAAAATAAGCAGTGAAGGTTGAATTTCTCATTTAATGTTAATGAGCTTTTCAAAATACAGCAAATGGTCCTGCTGTGGACAAAAGTCTTAAATAGGTATGTGAGTTTCCTTTCTGTTACTTTAAGAAAACTATGTAGTAATGTCTGGCTGTCTTTTTAAAAGCAACTGTGTGTCTATGGACTGGGATAAAGATGGAGACATCCTAGCAGTAATTGCTGAGAAATCTAATTGCATTTATCTATGGGATGCCAACACAAACAAGACCAGCCAACTAGACAGCGGCATGAGGTGAGAGTTTTTCTGGCTGTTCAAGTGGTGGTCTCCACACTTTATTTTTTTTTATTTATCTTATGTTTTGGGGTTAACATTAGTAATTGTATATATTAATGGGGTACAAAGTGATACTTAACACATGCATACAGTATACAGCATAAAGTGGAAATTAGCCTTTCCCAACTGGTTTTTTTAGTTGTTTTATTTTTAAATCTTCACTTATGACTATTTGTAGGCCTGATGCTGACAGTTCCTGCTATTTTGACTTTAAAGATACCTTGAGTTATTTTCTTCTAAAAGCAAAAGCTTATTTTATTAATAGTTTATGTTGATTATACATAATATATTATTGTAGATACTATATATTATTTATGTATTATCCTTCTGATTTTATTCCGTTAATTAGAATAAAGCTATTATAACCAAGAAATAGAAATAGCTTCTGGCTGGGCACCGGTGGCTAATCCCTGTAATCCTACTCAGGTGGCTGAGAGCTGAGGATGAAGGTTCAAAGCCAGCTCAGGCATACAAATCTGAGACAATCTTGTCTCCAATTAACCAGAAAAAAAGCATAGGGGAGATATGACTCAAGTGATAGAGCAGGAGCCTTGAGCAAAAAAAAAAAAAAAAACAGTATAGGAAGGGAAGGGAAGGGAGAAGAAGAAAGGAGGGAAGGAGGAAGGGGAAAGGGGGAAGAGAAGGAAGGGAAGGTTAGGTTAGTTGCTTTCAGGAGATTACACTAAAAATGGCAAAGACGAGACAAATTGTCTCTGGGGAAGTATAAAGAAGTGATTGGCTGTGGGGATCTTTGGGTCTGGAGGTCCAATGATACAGTGAAGTCTCATGGCCCAGCCCTTCTTTTTTCTGTACTGACTTTATTCGAAGTCACATTCTCACCAGCAGCTGTAGACTCAGCTTATTCTTCACAAAAAGGAGCCAGGCCCTTCCCTCTTCCGAAGTCTCTCAGTTAAGTAGACAAAGCATGAGGAGGGTAGGATTGGGATTGACATTTCTCAAGAAGTACTGGTCAGATGGCATAAATTACAGATCCCCACTAAAAGAGAAAAAGATTTCACATATGGAAAAACAATACTGTTACAACTAAAACTGCCATTGAAGCCTTAGGTAAGTTACTCAGATTTTCACTAAGCCTCGCCTGTTCGAAATGAGTATAGAAATGATATCTGCTTCGTGGTGTCATGGGGCCACAGGTGAACAGCATGCAATGACATACACACTCTGTTCAGATGTACGCCTCCAGTTTATTTATTTAGTAAAGAATAATAACAGAACCCAGAGAAAGATAGATGGCCAGGAAGAACCGAGCCAAAAATGACCTTTGCATAGAGACCCTGACTCCAGATGGCTCAGGAGCGGTGGAGTAGAGTTGCAGGAACTATCTTCCCAGTGTAAAGTCTTTCTCAGTCTTAGAATGTTCATTTTTTTCTTCAGCCTTTACACACTTTGGGTTTACATAAACACTTTTCAGAAAGCTCTTACAGGTACTCCACCCTCTGAGCAACACCTCCAGCCCCTTGTAATTTTCAAAGCATGTTGTCTTTCTACTTGTGTTTCCCCCATGTTGTTGAAGGTGACAAGCACATGCCAGAACATGCAGCCATTGTGCTTTCCCTACAGCTGGGATCATAGGTATGTGTCACGGTGCCCAGCCACTTAGTGAGACAGAATCTTGGGAACTTAAATAAAGCATGGAGTTTCACCATCTAGTAAGGTGTGTGTGTGTGTGTGTGTGTGTGTGTGTGTGTGTGTGTGTGTGTGTTTTACCACAATTTAAAACATCACTAAGTAGACAAATTAATATCATGAGTCATCCTGACATTTAAGATTTCATCATTACCGAGTTAAAGTCTATATTATATATTTGTTCTTTGAGTCTAGTAGATATTGTCATCTTAAAGCATCTCCAAAATTTGTTTAGCACTTAATATTTGGAAGTTATGTTGTAATTTTGTTCTTGAGTAGAGATTAAATTTATTCATGAAGTACTTTTTTTTAAAAAAGGATTATTTTGAGGTCATATTGTTACTTGTCAAATAATGTTAGTCAAATAATCGAAATCATTTATATCTCAACATCACAGGGATGAAATGTCTTTCCTTGTTTGGTCAAAAGTTGGAAGTTTCCTGGCTGTTGGAACTATGAAAGGAAATTTGCTTATTTATAATCATCAGACATCTCGAAAGATTCCTGTCCTTGGTACGTGACAGCTGGAAACACTGCTAAATATTTGAGATGCTTTAGCTCACATTAAATTTGTGGCCTTGGATCCGCTGGTGCTGCAGCAGATCTGTCTCGGCATGAACACCATCCCTTGCCCAGCCTTACACAGCTAAACGGGAAGATCACTTCTGCTTACTGGAAATTTCCCAGTAACACATATTCATTTTGTCCCCTATGGTAGATAGATAAGAGCCTTTGGTAGCTCTTTGAATGGAGCACATGCAGATTCCTAATTCGAATCCCTCATTCTGTCCAAATAGCAGTTCGATCTAGGTGTTGGCCTATAGGTCTATAGGTTTTTGTCTCTAGGTTCATGACCAGACGGTGTTTGCTTTGATTTCTTTTTTTTTTTTTTGTCGGTCATGGGGCCTGAACTCTGGGCCTTGGCGCTGTCCCTCAGCTCTTCAGCTCAAGGCTAGCGCTCTACCACTTGAGCCACAGCGCCACTTCCTTGCTTTGATTTCTTGTTTGACCTGGTGTTAGGTTCTTTGGTTCCTCCAGATCTCCAGATATGGTCACTTGGCACCTGCCCTCTGAATACCTCGAAGACTGGGAGGGTACATGAAGATGACCAGGAAAGACAGAAGTGTGAAACCATGATGACACCTCAGAAAATCTGAGAGGGCTGCTCCATTAAGAACGCTCATTGGCTCAATTATTTCCACGTGTATATATCTCTTTAATATTTATTTCAATTTTTGGTTTAGGGCTGGGAAGGTGGCTCAGTGGTAGAGCACTTGCCTTTCATGCATGAGGCCCTGGGTTCGATTCCTCAGTACCACATAAGCAAAAAAGAAAAAAGCCGGAAGTGGCGCTGTGGCTCAAGTGGTAGAGCGCTAGCCTTGAGCTGAAGAGCTGAGGGACAGCGTCCA